GGGGGGGGGGGCATTAGAAATGTGTCGTGGGTGAAAATCGTACACCATCATAGAATCTAGCTTATTCTGGGGAGTTTACAAGCGATTTGGAATCTTCCACAGATTGTTTCCAATTTTGAAAGTTGAGTTGAGTACTGTAGTTTTGCAATCACGTACTCGGACAGTTCAAAACAGACACTGCGCAAACCACTTATAGCACCACCATTAATTTATTGGACGAAATGCGCACCAGTTTTTAAAGCACCATTTTATTAGACGAAGTGTTTTTGAAGCACCATTTTATCAGACGAAGTGTTTTTGAAGCACCATTTTATTAGACGAAGTGTTTTTGAAGAACCATTTTATTAGACGAAGTGTTTTTGAAGAACCATTTTATTAGACGAAGTGTATCTCAGATTTTGAAGGACAAGTATCTTAGACTCAATGCCAAAGAGGTTATAACCTCTTTAAGCTCAGTGCACAACACTTTTTGAAGCACTAGCATAATAAGATTATAAGACGCAGTGCACACCAAAATCACAGTGTTTCGATTTTCACCGACAGCAAGAAGATTGTGTTACGGGGGCAGAAGAGACATCTCCGGCGAGCACCCAGGAACTATTCGGAGACGCACTCCCGCACACAGATGCACAGCTTTGGTGGGTCAAACTGCGTACTGTTTGCTGCTGATATCACATATATAGCCACTAAAACTGTCGCAAATCAAATATTAACAAGAAAATTTCAAACCTAACTGCAAAATATCAAATTATGGTTTAAAACAGGGGAAATCCCCCCCCCCCCTGTAACCCCCCTAGATTTTTTAAACTTTGGCTAAAGGCACAAAGCATTTTGATTGGTCTGTCTCCGTCGGGGGCGCTTCCGAATAGATGCTGCGGTTACGGGGACATCATAGACTTAAAATTACGATATCCAGGACCTGGGACTGCCAAGGCCGCCGCTTATTGCTCGCAAGAAAAAACTTCGCTAGGCTAGTGCGCACCATGAGGGCGTGAATGAAGGGCAAAAAACACAAGTTACTCTATAGTAGAATGCGGTCATAATCTTTCCCTTATAACCTTTTATCAAAGATCGTACACAACAAGATAGTTCACTCGGCCTAGAAAGTGCCCGTGGAAGTCCGCGCATTGGTTCAGATGGCGCTGCAGTCTTTGTTTTGAAGCTCTCTTTCGTTTCTCCAGAAGAAGAATAGGAATAGCACAGATTTTTAGTATCGCTTTTATTGTTTTTCACACAACGAAGGTAACTCTGATAGCAAAGTCCGCACTTTTTCGAAGAGGGCGCCACCGAATTTTAAGGACACTTTTTTAATTGGCTCAAAGAGACGAGTGAACTATCTTGTTATGTACGATCTTTGCTTTTATCTGGTTTCAAACAGAATCGAATGATGCCTTCCATTTTGAAGCGGAAGTACGTCAGAGTGCTCGGTCTAAGATATCATAATTCAAAATCTATTGGGGGGGGGGGGGGATCTCAACATTGAAATTTGTGCGCTATTAAACTCAGTCAAGAAGCAAGGTATTGCACGACTTGTTTGTTTGTGTTCGCTGTCTTAGAATGACAACGTTCTATCTGACATTTTGGGCCGCTTTGAGTTAACTCAGATACCATGATGTCAGGAACCAAATGTTCTATTTGCTGTATCAAAATCGTAAGAGTATTGGGAGTCGTTATCAAGATATTCAACGGACTGCATTCGAGAAAGCTTGACCTGTTATAGAGTGTCAGGCAGTTAGGGCGGAAACACTTGCTTGAAGGGGTTTCTTCAAGGGGCTTCTTCCTCTGAAGATCTCCTGCTGTCCGCTCGCCCTATGAGTTTTCTCCCACCTGTGAAACTCAACATTTTTGACGCCAAATCTCTCAAAACTAGATACAGAGCAGATAGAATTTGGTAATTCTAGGGGTAACGTACTGCTGGTGGCGGAACTGAAGAACTATACGCCGCAGACTGGTGGCGGAACTGAAGAACTATACGTCGCAAACTGGAGGCGGAACTGAAGAACTATACGCCTCAGACTCTAAGGACGAGCAACATGACTATGTTCATTTTGTGATGTATTGGCGA